TTTGACCCTTACGTAAACGAGTCTTTACATGTACATGTAACACATCAACTTTGATAGATATGTTGTATCTAGATAAATAAGGACTGAAAATAAGAGTAAGATATAAAAATTAGAAAATACTGCACATATTGAAATTATACATGCATAGTACGCTCGTGCATATTTGCCAACTGTCAAACATGTAGATACATTTTTAGACTCAGAAGTGAGCATAATCTATTAGTAATTAAATTTTATATTTACAAGTGCTTGAACTAACGGTACATAAATTTTATTTGAATTAAAAAAAAAAGTCCACATGCAGTTACACATATAATTTTATACATGTACCTTGATTTGAAAAAAAAAATTGATAGTTTTGTTTCGTTTCGTTTCGGCAGGTTTCGTTTTGATTTCGTTTCGTTTCGTCTTGATTTCGTTTCGTTTCGGTAGGTTTCGTTTCGTTTCGGTAGATTTCGTTTCGTTTCAGTTCGTTTCGTTTCGTTTCGTTTCTATTTCGTTTCGCACTTTACAGGTACCCCGACCTGGTGTCTTAACTACATAGTTTACATCACTGATCTTGCTTTCAATTTCATAAGGGCCATAAAATCTGGCCTGTAAAGGATGACCAGGAATAGGTAAAAATACAAGAACCTTATCACCTGGCTTAAACACCCTATTTCTGGCATCTTTGTCATACCACATTTTCATTTTCATCTGAGAATTCTTCAAATTTTCTTGTGCTAATTTACAAGCATTGTAAAGTTTTTCTTTGAAATCAGACACATAATCTAAAAGATTAAGATCACTAGTCTCAGTCAGCCACTTTTCCTTCAACAATTTCAAAGGACCTCTAACTGTATGTCCGAACACCAATTCAAAAGGACTGAACCCAAGAGACTCCTGGACTGCTTCTCGTGCAGCAAATAGCACAAGATGAACCCCTTCGTCCCAGTCTTTTTCATATTGGTAACAATAGGTCTTCAGCATTGTTTTTAGGGTTTGATGAAAACGTTCTAGCGCTCCCTGGGACTCAGGATGATAAGCAGTTGATCTATATTGCCTTATACCCAACTCATGCATGACTTGCTGGAACAACCCCGACATAAAATTTGAGCCTTGATCCGACTGAATTGCCTTGGGTGCTCCTACAAAACTGAAAAACTTGGTTAGGGCCTTAACTATGCTCTTTGCCTTTATATTCCTTAGAGGTATGGCTTCAGGAAATCGAGTGGATGTACACATAATGGTAAGTAAATACTGGTTTCCAGATCTGGTCCTAGGCAAAGGTCCTACACAATCCACTAATACTCGACTAAACGGTTCTTCAAAAGCTGGAATGGGTTGGAGAGGAGCAGATGGTATCTTCTGATTTGGTTTACCTACCATCTGACAGACGTGGCATGACTTGCAAAACTTCGAAACATCCTTTCTTAGCTTAGGCCAATAAAAATGACTCAAAATCCTATTATAAGTCTTATTGATACCTAAATGACCAGCCATAGGTGTATCGTGAGCTAAACTCATGACATCTCGACGATAAGCAGCTGGGACCACTATTTGGTGAACAACACGCCACACTTCATCTGGAGAAGCTTCAGGTGGTCGCCATTTTCGCATAAGGATGCCATCTTTCATATAGAAGCATTCTCCAACTTTAGTAGCCTCTTCTGGTGGAAGTCCCCTCTTACTAAGTTGAATGATATCTGGGTCTTTATGTTGTTCAGAGAGTAAACGTTCTCGGCTGAGGATGTCCTTGCCTTTGCTAACTAGTGGATGCAACTCATCATCCTCACCACCAAATTTTGGTAACAGTTCTTTCTTCTCTTGCTTCTTGATATTGTGTGGTTCCATGTTTGTTTGAGTGCAATTAAGGTCAGATAAGAAAGTGTCATTCAAATCAATATCAACAGAGGAATTCGTCTCGTCAAAGGCTTAAGTATGGTCTGCCTCCATTTCTCGTCTTCTGGCCATCGCTCTAGTAACAGCCCAGGCTGGATAAATGTCATCATCTTCATCATTATACATGACATCTGGAGTGATCTTCTCACAAACTATAGGAGCTGGTACAACTTTTCCACAAGCTAGATCGTTGCCTAACAACAAAGAAATACCTGGAACGGGAAGAGTAGGTCGAACACCTACGATAACAGGTCCAGTAACTAAATCTGACTTCAAACTAATTCTATGCAGGGGAACATCAATGACGCCTAGCTCCACACCCTGTAATAAAACTGACCCACCAGTAGAAGTCTGCTCAGACAAAGGAAGCACGCCCTCTAACAATAACGTCTGTGCAGCACCAGTATCTCTCAAAATCTGGACAGGTTTTATTTCGCTAGAGTCACCGAGTGAAACAAATCCCTGAGACATAAAGGGCTTATAATCCTCCATAGAATCAACAGAACTGGACTGTGAACCCTGGACATCAGGAGTGTCAGAACAAATCGAAACTAAGGCTTCTCTATCACCTCTAACTGCCGCACAAGCATGTGGTTGAGTTTTATCAAAATCATTTTTTCTCTTGAGTTTAAAGCATTCACTGATCAGATGACCCTTTTTCTTACAATAACTACAAGTAGGAAGCGACCCTATTCCAGACGATCCTTCAACACGTCCTGAACCGGACTTAAAACCACCTTGGGATGGAGACTGGGAACTTGTGAAAGACTGAGACCCTGAACCACTCTTTTTATATGTGTCTGAATTGGTAGAATTACTGATCTTGAAACAAAATTCTTTTTATGAGACAGAGCATAAGTATCAGATATGACTGCTGCCTCTTCAAGAGTTTTCACATTCTTATCTTCTAAATGTGTTTTCAAATCTTGAGGAACACATTCCTTAAACTCTTCTACCAGGATGACTTGTCGCAAATTAGCAAAAGTTTTATCAAGTTTCTTAGATCTAAACCAGTGATCGAATAAATCTTCTTTCTCTCGTGAAAATTCAACAAATGTTTGATTATCAAACTTCCTATACTTTCTGAATTTTTGTCTATATGCTTCAGGTACTAATTCATATGCTTTTAATATTGCTGCTTTGACCTTCTCATAGTCTGAACTTTCAGCTACCCCTAGTGCAGAGTATACCTCAGCTGCTTTGCCAACCAGTACACTTTGTAACATTGTTGACCAAACATTTCGTGGCCATTTAAGATTCTCTGCGACCTTTTCAAATTGGGGAAAATATTTGTCTACAGATTTTTCTTGAAATTTTGGAACTAATCTGATATTTTTTGCTGCGTCAAATTCAGTTTTGACAACTGACGGTTCTGGTTGGGTTTGTAATTTTAATTTCTCTAATTCAAAGTTCATTGCACGCTCTCTTTCTCGCTCTTCTCTTTCTGCTGCTAATTTGTCTAATTCAAATTTTCGTTCACGCTCTCGTTCTTCTCTTTCTCTTTCTCGCTCTTCTCTTTCTTTTTCCCGCTCTTCTCTTTCTTTTTCTCGATCTTCTCTTTTTAATTTTTCTCTTTCTAATCGCATTTTCTCTAACTCTACTTGAAACTGATATTCTGCCATTTTATAAGAGCCTAACTCTGATTTAACTGTATATTCTGGAAGATCGTATTTTTCAAAGACGTTTTCTTCTACTAGTTTGTTTGCAACCTTCATTCTAATGTCTTGCTTTCTCTGAGAGGATTTAACATCTAACCCAAAATGCAAACCTAATGCGATCAAGTCATCCTTTTTTAACGTATCAAAAACCTGAACACTTGGTGAACTAAGAAAGTCTGTGACCGAAAACACCATGTTGATTTCTGCTGGCTTATAATCAAATTTAACGGTTCAATAAACAAAATTCTGACAATAAACTGCAAAAGTGCAAGAAATTCTTTATCCCGGACGAGCCCCCAATTCTGTTATGGGTCAGAATTACCCGAAATGCCAGCAAAGATCAATAACACAATTTAAACTTAACAATAATTTATTTACAGTAATATATAATAAATATATCAAACATAAAGTACAAACTTAGCAAGAATCTAAAAATACATACATCAGAGTGTCCGTTGCTGCACACAATGTCCCAGTGAAAACATATCCCATTTATATCTCAGTAGTGCTTATACGACAAAGTATTTCTATGCATCGAATTGACAGGGTATTTATACAGTAATATAAATCTAGAATATTCTAGAAATTGTTAAAACATGATATTACTGGAACAATCTGGACATACACAAAATTTAAGAATGTTCTAGATAAAATGGCCAAACATGTTGACCACTCTGGAATGTTCAAGAAACTTAATGTTACTAATTATATACATAATGAAACAATACACATCTCACAACAATAGCATTTGCAATTTTTGAAGAAAAAAAAAGGATTAAGAATAAATATTATTCCATGTATAGTATGATTAACTTTAATTATGAAGTTTGAAGAATGATCGTGGGCAAATGGACATAACTTAAGAAGTCAGAGACATGTACATCTATATGAACTTTTTCAACTGGAGGATTGGATTACCTTTAGTTCTTAAACTTATATTTGCAATGAGTAAATTTAAAGTTCCTTTCAAAATGTTTTGTCCATTTTACCTGTATGTTTAAATAACCAAAGTTTGGGAAATCTTATTTGTTATTTTAAAAAATTAATGCATGTGTGAACGAAGAAATGTCATTAACATCAATAAATAGAACAATACATTGATTGCAATGTTCTTTGACATCCGGGTATCTTCGGAGGTCAATAACAAATCCTGAGTGTTAAATGTTAACAAACAAATCCGATGTATCTCCAATCTCAGAGTTATTTCAACAAATTTAAATTCTATGATAAATCGATAATGGACCCACTGAGCCGCGTATTTACTGTATTTTATTTAAACATGTTAAACTGAATTGTAAAAGCTTTGGATGACGAAGATGATGATTTAGCAAGTATTTGTCATTTAAGTATCTGTTATTTAAGTAATGATTACTTACTGAACCAACAGCCTCAATGAATATTCTCAAAAAGAATATGTACAGTTATTTTTCTTCAAATTTATACCAGCAAATCCTGGAGTATAACGAATAGTTGAGGACAGGTAGTACATAAAGAAATAACCGGTCTGAAGTTAAGCAGCCATGCAATAACAGCAGCCACTAAGCCCATAGAAGCTAGCAGCCAATAAGGAAATTGAAGAAATACCGTAAAAGGCAAATAAAAAGCTGAGACAGAGGATACGTTGTGCATGATTGAAGTATACTTGGGGGAGGTAGTGTAGTGTTACCATTAAAAATTCCAGATTTTTACTGACAAACTGAACGATCGAAATGAAAACACACCATGTTTTGTTTGTGATTTATTTTGAAACCATCAGCATCAGAAGCCCTGATGCATTTCAAACTACTTCAAGTTTTAAACATGTAGAGGAGAACAAGGACAAATATCCCACGGCGAATGTTCTACAAGAGTTTCCAGGAACTGTCAGTCTTTCTAGATGTACGGCATCGTGTCTTCGCTATTCCGAGTGTTCCTCTGTGTTTTACAATGACATCAATCAGATGTGTGTCTGTGCCGGACAGGTGGACTCCAGCGACCTGACACCCTCACCAGGATACGTCCAGCTTTCAAAGAATCACTCGGGTATCTAGCTCATATATAAAAATAACGGCGTCTTCCCTGATTAACTGTCAAAAATGTTAGCTAAGTGGAAAAAAAACAAAGTTTTAAGGGCACTAGGTATCCGACTTGTTTTTTAACATATTTTCCCTTAACGCTTTCAATGATTTTTCATGCGATGAGTACAATAGGGACACCAGATTACACTTGTTGGTAGGAATTTGTTTTACTTATTCTAAACGCCCTCTTAGAATGTTGTTCATTCCATGAATTAAAATTGTATTTTTTGTGACAGACACGTCCGACTGGGTTCTTTTTGGAAATTCACAGTACCTTATTCTACGGAAAAACTCAAACTGGATTGAGGCTCAGGTATGTATATAACTATAATCTGCTTAAGGTACATCGATACTCTGAAAAGAAAGGTAATTCTTGATGACAAAATGACTATTAAGTTAAAGTGTCTTTTTTTTTTACCAGTTTTGCGCCGCAAGCTAAGCCATGCCATACTTGTTTGAATTTTCCTTACAATTTATATTTCCTTTGGAAAATTATAAGAGTTAAAGAAATATCTTATACATGTATATGTAAGCAGAGGGTTTATGAACCTTAATCATACCGTTGTTAAACTACCTACACGAATACGAGGTCTTATTTGTTCCAATAGCTCCTATTGTAAACAAGTGTACATTAAATTACATCAAGATAAACAAATCGCTGATTTTAATTACATTTTTTTCTATTACATTTACAAGACAAGACGACTTGCCCCATATTTTTTTTAATCCCATTGCCTTAAAGTTTGACCTCATTTTGAGAACCCTTGACCTTAAAGTTTGACCTTATTTTGAAACTTTTTTTGAAGATTGAATGTGCCACCTTTGGTGCTCGATTGGCTGAAATAGAAACCACGGAAGAAAATAATTTCCTAAGAGGTCTTATTCGGGCGGCTGTTCAAGGTATCCATTATTTTAACTTTTTTCCTATTAAAAACTTAAAACTTCAAATACTGTTTTAAAAATGAAAATGTTTGTTTATTATGCACAGGGATTTTTCCATTAATTCAGCATTGTATTTATATATTTTGACATGCAATTGAATAATTACACCGACAATTTGAATACCGCTTATTTGCGAACTCTGAATTTCTTCATTATAGTCGCCTATGTTGGTGACATGCATGTATATCAGAGATATTGTTTTTTTATTTTGATATTCTCAAATAGTATTTTGTGGATACTGCCCAATAAATACCCCATAAATGTATAAAATATGTACATTTTAGGGAAATAAAATTTCCGTTCATCCAACCTTACATTTGTTGTTGCTCAATATTAGCAAGATATCAAATTGGAAATGATTTGTGAAGGTTTTTGATTGTTCAATGCTTGCTTGATTGTCGTTATTTAACGTCCCTCTGGAGAAATTTCAATCACAGAGACGCCACCACTTGCCGGTGGAGAGCTGCAAATTTTGACCTATATACTCGGTACCTAGGGCCGTTGAGCATGGAGGGATCGTTTTCGTACCAGCACATACTGCGACACGGGATCTCGGTTTATGATACGGTCTCATCCGAAGGACCGGCCTCCATGTCCCACATTGGGATTTGAATCTGCGACGTAAGGCGACTCTAAAGCAGACGCTCTAACCACTGCGCCACGCAGTGTATGTCAAGCATATATGAAATTCGCAGTTTATATTTCAGTAATTCGCAGTAGATGCTGGCACGATAGAGATCCCTCCCTGCTCAATGACCCTGAGTTCCGAGTAAAGGACAACATTTTCAGCTCTCCACGGCAAGTGGTGGCGTCTCCTATATGAGCGAAAAAATTCTTGCGGGAAACGTTAAGCAATATACAATCAATCATTATTCTTTAGATACTGTTTTCTTGGGCGGTACGGAAGTCTTCGATGAGGGAAGCTGGATCTGGTACTCTACATTACGGAACGTTAGTTTCACTGACTGGGCGTCCACCAAACCGGACTATGGAGGAACAGATCACTGCTTAACTCTTCATGCATTCTTTGATTTCGCTTGGGATGATAATCCATGTGGATATAGATTGAACAACATTCTATGCGAACGAGTTGTTGTTTGAAAATAAATGATAAACTAGGGCTAATTGTAACGGGGACCGTTACAGATGTTCCCCAAACGCTCCCCAACTCCCTTTTGGTGCCATATTCCTTGTAAGCTCTATTAAATAAGACATACTTTATGCAATTTAGACTTAACGTTTTCCAAGAAGAATACAAAATATATTTAAATCTTAGCATTGCACCCGTGCTCATGTGAATGCATGTGCGTAATGACCATTTCATCTTGTGTACACTATCTATATATTTTAATATACTTAATATCAAAGCATTTAATCCAGAAGTATTAAAAAAATACACTCATTTAAGCGTATTTTTAATTTTACTCATTTCACGTGCACGTACGTGCAAGCATGTGCATGATGACCATACCTTCTTGTAGGAGTTCATTTTGTCTATCTATATTCTAAATCCCATGCTGTTTGGTTGAAAAACAAGGGAGTTATAACCATTTAAAGTTTAAGCCAATCAGATTGCAGCGCACGTGCATGCGCGTGTTTTCATGACAACTGTTATATATCCTATTGCAGGACATCCTAAAGTATGCCTATGTTTTAAATTTCATCGCATTTCGTCAAAAAACAGAAAAGATACTGAGAATTTTGTTTCAGCCAATCAGAGCGAAGCGCACGTGCATGCGCGCATGAGTTCGTGCTAATTTGACAGTGTCACATTATCTACACTATCAATATATCTTTATATAATGAGTTTCAAATCATTTCATTAAAAAATGTAAAAGTTATAGCTATATTAAGTATATCAGTCATTTCACTCTTATCACGCGCGCGCACGTGCATGCGTATGCGCGCAAAATGACCTTCGTTCCGCACACCTACACTACACACCTATTAACCCTAAAAAGGTTTTAGGTCAGTTGGGTGAACAGTTTCTGAGAACACTCGCGGACAAAAAAGTACCGGAGAACAAATAAGAAAAAAAATAATAACTAGTGCTAATTGTAACGGGAACCGTTACAGATGTTCCCCAAACGCTCCCCAAATCCCTTTTGATGCCATATTCCCTGTAAGCTACATTAAATAAGACAACATCTGTGCATTTTTTACTTTAACAACGTTTTCCCAAAAGGATACCAATTATATTCAAATTTTAACATTGCACACGTGCCCATGTGAATGCACGTGCGTAATGATCATATAATCTTGTCTTCACTTTATATATATTTCAATATACTTTATATTAAAGCATTTAGTCCAAAAGTATTTAAAAAATCACTCATTTAAGTGTATATATTTAATTTCACTCCTTCGAATATGCACGCACGTGCGTACACGTGCATGATGACTACACCCTCTTGTAGGAGGCCTTTATATCTATCTATGTTCTAAATCCCATCCTGTTTGGTTGAAAACCAAGGGAATTATAGCCATTTCAAATTTCGGCCAATCAGATTGCAGCACACGTGCATCCACGTGATTTCAAGAATCTTTTTCTAAATCATATTGTAGAATATTCTAATGCATGACTATGTTTTAAATTTCAAAGCATTTCGTCAAAAAACAAAGGAGATATAGCCATTTAAAGTTTCAGCCAATCAGATTGCAGCACACGTGCATGCGCGTGATTTCTTGAATTTTTTGTATATCATATTGCAGGATATCCTAATGCGTGACTATGTTTTAAATTTCAAAGCATTTCGTCAAAAAACAAAGGAGATATAGCCATTTAAAGTTTCAGCCAATCAGATTGCAGCGCACGTGCATGCGCGTGATTTCATGAAATTTTTTCCATATTATTATTGTAGGATATCCTAATTCATGATAATATTTAACATTTCAAAGCATTTCGTCGAAAAACAAAAGAGATATTGAGATTTTTGTTTCAGCCAATCAGAGCAAAGCGCACGTGCATGCGCGTGAGTTCTTGCTAATTTGACAGTGTAATTTTATTAACACTATTAATATATCCTCATGTAATGAGTTTCAAAGCATTTCATCAAAAATGTAAAAGTTATAGCTATATTAAGTATATCAGTCAATTCACTCATTTCACGCGCACGCACGTGCAGGCGTATGCGCGCAAAATGACCTTCGTTCCGCACACCTACACTACACACCTATTAACCCTAAAAAGGTTTTAGCTCAGTTGGGTGAACAGTTTCTGAGAACACTCGCGGACAAAAAAGTACCGGAGAACAAATAAGAAAAAAAATAATAATAACTAGTGCTAATTGTAACGGGAACCGTTACAGATGTTCCCCAAACGCTCCCCAACTCCCTTTCGGTGCCATGTTCCCTTTAAGCTTCATTAAATAAAACAAACTCTGTGCATTTTTGACTTTTACAACGTTTTCCCAGAAGGATACCAATTATATTCAATTTTTAGCATTGCACCCAAGGCGCATGTGAATGCATGTGCGTTATGACCATATCATCTTGTCTACACTATTTATATATATTTTAATATACTATATATTAAAGCATTCAGTCCAAAAGTAATAAAAATCACTCATTCAAGAGTATTTTTGAATATACTCATTTCAAATGCACGCACGTGCGTGCACGTGCATGATGATCATACCTTCTTGTAGGAGGTCTTTACATCTATGTATGTTCTAAATCCCATCCTGTTTGGTTGAAAAACAAGGGAGTTATAGCCATTTAAAGTTTCAGCTTATCAGATTGCAGCACACGTGCATGCACGTAATTTAATGATTTTTTTTATATCATTTTGTAGGATATCCTAATGCATGACTATATTTTAAATTTCAAAAAATTTCGTCAAAAAACAAAGGAGAAATAGCAATTTAAAGTTTCAGCAAATCGGATTGCAGCACACGTGCATGCGCGTGATTTCATGACTTTTTTCTATATCATTTCGTAGGATATACTAATGCATGACTATATTTTAAATTTCAAAGAATTTCGTCAAAAAACAAAGGAGATATTGCCATTTAAAGTTTCAGCCAATCAGCTTGCAGCACGCGCACATGCGCATGCTTTCATGAAAATTCTTATATATCATGCGGTAGATCTTCATAATGTAGGACTATGTTCAAAATTTCAAAGGATTATGACAAGAAACAAGAAAGTTATTGAGACTTTAGTTTCAGCCAATCAGAGCGAAGCGCACGTGCATGCGCGTGAGATCTTGCTATTTTGACCATGCTATCTTGTTTATACTACTAATGTATCCTTACATTATGAGTTTCAAAAAATTTCATCAAAAATTAGAAAAGTTACGGCAATATCCATTATATTGGTAATTTCACCTATTGCACGTGCGCGCTCTTGCAAGCACGTGCGCGCAAAATGACCTTTGTTTGGCAACTCTACATAACATGCCTACTAACCCTAAAAAGGTTTCACCTAAGTCGGATGTGTAGTTTACAAGATCACTCGTGGACAAAATTTTCCCAGGAAGAAGAAAAATAATACTAATAATAATAACTAGTGCTAATTGTAACGGGAACCGTTACAGATGTTCCCCAAACGCTCCCCAACTCCCTTCTCGTGCCATATTCCCTGTAAGTTTCATTAAAGAAGGCAAAATCTATGCATTTAAGACGTAAACAACGTTTTCCCAAAAGTATACCAAGTATTTCAAATTTAAGCAATGCAGGCGTGCGCATGTGATTGCATGAGCGTAATGACGATATCATCTTGTCTACACTATTTTACTCATATGCACGTGCACGCACGTGCATGATGACCATACCTTCTTGTAGGAGTCCATTATGTCTGTCTATGTTCTTAATCCCATCCTGTTTGGTTGAAAAACAAGGGAGTTATAGCCATTAAAAGTTTAAGCCAATCAGATTGCAGCGCACGTGCATCCGCATGTTTCCATGACAATTATTATATATCATATTGTAGGACATCTTAAAGTATGCCTATGTTTTAAATTTCAAAGCATTTTGTAAAAAAACAGAAAAGATATTGAGATTTTTGTTTCAGCCAATCAGAGCAAAGCGCACGTGCACGCACGTGCATGCATGTGAATGGTGACCATACCATCTTGTAGGAGTCCTTTATGTCTATCTATGTTCTAAATCCCATGCTGTTTGGTTGAAAACCAAGGGAGTTATAGTCATTTAAAGTTTCAGCCAATCAGATTGCAGCGCACGTGCATGCGCGTGATTTCATGAAATATCTTATATACCATATTGTAGTACATCCTAATACATGTTTATGTTATAAATTTCAGAGCATTTCATCATAAAACAAAAAAGATATTAAGATTTCTGTTTCAGCCAATCAGAGCAAAGCGCACGTGCATGCGCGTGAGTTCATGCAAATTTGACCATGTCATCTTATGTACACAACTTATATATCTTTATATAATGAGTTTCAAAACATTTTATCAAAAAATATAAAAGTTACAACCATATTAAATATATCAGTCAGTTTACTCATTGCACGCGCCCGCACGTGCATGCGAATGCGCGCAAAATGACCTTCGTTCGGCACATCTACACAACATGCCTACTAACCCTAAAAAGGTTTTAACTTAGTTTGGTGAACAGTTTCTGAGAACACTTCCGGACAAAAAAGTACCGGAGAAGAAATAAGAAGAAAAAAGAATAATAATAATAATAACTAGTGCTAATTGTAACGGGAACCGTTACAGATGTTCCCCAAACGCTCCCCAACTCCCTTTTGGTGCCATATTCCCTGTAAGCCCTATTAAATAAGACAACATCTGTGCATTTTTGCCTTTAACAACGTTTTCCCAGAGGGATACCAATTATATTCAAATTTTAAAATTGCAGGCGTGCGCATGTGAATGCACGTGCGCAATGATCATATCTTGTCTACAATTTTCTATACATTTAAATATACTATATATTAAACCATTTAGTCCAAAAGTATTAAAAATCACTCATTCAAGTGTATTTTTAATTTCACTCGTTCCAAATGCACGCACGTGCGTGCACGTGCATGATGATCATACCTTCTTGTAGGAGGCCCTTATATCTTTCTATATTCTAAATCCCATCCTGTTTGGTTGAAAACCAAGGGAATTATAGCCATTTCAAGTTTCAGCCAATCA